ACATATTGTGTTGTATCTTACTCAAATTTTGCTCATTTTACTTTATTTTTTCTGGGATATGAAAGACACTTTAAAAGTATATTTTTTACAACTTAGATCATGTAATTTGGTTAAGTATTAGTTGAGTTATGATAGATTTTGTATTTGAGTGTACTTAGTGTGACGAAAATCACGAATCGCGCGTGTGACAATATTTATGAAAATGACAGTAAGGATGCAGATGGTGCCATGAAGTATCTATTGGACATATACGTCTCGTCATACACTCCGACAATTGGAGCACTCATTAATGCGCGGTTAACGAATGGGAACGGAGGAGAACCGACAGTGCTTGTTATCGGAGATACTTCACTCCCGTCAGCTAAGGAAGAAATTCGCAGAATCAAGAATTGTGGCATGGCGCCTAAATTGCTCGGTAGCAAGGTATCTCACAGGACGCTAATCAAAGCGCTTCAGAAAACAACATGGGTCCATTTTGTTTGTCATGGAGGCTTAGATCCAAAGCCTTTCAACTCGTCATTTAAGGTGTCCGAACGTGGGCTGACTTTACTTGATATTGTTCGAGCGAATCTTCCGGACGCAGAGTTCGCATTCCTTTCTGCATGCCACACTGCCGAGCAGTCTTTCGAGGTTGCACACGATGAAGTGCTCCATCTAGCTGCGGCAATGCAGTTCTCCGGATTTCGAAGTGTGATTGGATCGATGTGGGAGTTACTTGATGAGGATGGCCCTTTTTTCGCCAGGACGGTTTATGAGTACATGTGCGACTGTGACGAGGGTGAAGCGAGGTATAAGCGGGCGGCTGTTGGGCTGCGCAAAGCAGCTGTCGAGCTGAAAGCACGGGATGGCATGCGTACTGAAAGATGGGTCAATTTAGTTCACATCGGTGCTTGATGATCAAGGCTCTCGCAATGCAGCTTCTTTGTCTCCGCTGCTTTATGTGTACAGAAACGGTCGTTGCTGTATAATAAAATTGGCATCATGTCGGTCCAGGCAGTTGTTCTTACTCCGCAGGATCAGAGTTCTCCGTCTATCATTGGTATTATACTTATCCGATAAATATTTATAGCTTGCAGTGCTTGAGAGCGAATGCGGAAAGACGACAACGCGGACAAATTCTCGGAATAGGCTAGGCAACTAATAAGGGTCGGTCGTAGTTCCGATCAACGGGAGCAATTGCAGTCCCGTCATTGCACTTGGGTTGTGCAACGGCCATTTTCGTGTATAAGACGGCTTGCAGCTTTTTTCTTCATTTGTGGATTCCAGTATCTGGTGAAGCTACCGGTCCACAGCCTGAGGGTCTCGCGTCAAGGCAGCCAAGCTATTTTAATTCTCATAATTCCGGCTACCAGTTGTTCTGATAGTCGTGGAGCATCGAGTGCATTATATAATATGAACCATCTGTGCCTCATTATTTAATCATTTTATTACATGGAGATAGATGTTTGAATGAGATTTGCCGATCGACTACTCGTCAAGTCTTTCGCTTGAACTACGCTATGGCACGCCCACCTGGCAGTGCAGGGGTGCGACTGATAAGTTCTCCGATCGAAGATCCAAAGCATTGGCCCATGTTCTAGCTCAGTCCTCAGCGCGTACTTTCTTCCACCACTCTAGATGGTCAACCCTCTACTACCGTGACAGCACAGTCTCTCAAAGGTTAGAGACGCCGTGCGTGTCACCGCATGGCACTGCTTCATCGCTCAAATGATCAGTACATTGATCCGACGAATGTGGCGGAATGGGTGTCGGTGGGATTTGGTGCTCAGTGTGTCCAAGTGGCAGTCGTGACCGCCCTGGTTTATGACACGAGTAAGCACGAAAATAAAGCTTTCAGTAATGATTTAGAAGTGCTTATGGTCGTGAAAGTCATTAGAATGGATAAAGAGGTGATATTTCATCTCCTTTCGTTTTCACGCTACGTCTGAACATCTGACCCTGGTAATTAGATCCAGTATTTCTGGGTATGTACTTGAAACTATCCTCAGACATCGAATACATTGCTCACAGTGGACCCTGTGGCAGGTTCTTCCAGTGAAATTCGTCAATATCGCCTATTTCTTGGTATGCGTTGCAAAATTCCTAATCGCGTCGAAGTTTGCTCACCTAATAAAAACGTTACAAGAATCGATACCTGGGAATAGTAGGTGCAAGTGTCGCCTTACTTTGTAAGATATGGGTTTCGCCTGTCTTTCCGAATATATCTTAACACATTGCTTTCAAAGACCAAACACACCGAGCGAACATAACATTGTAGGTTCTCCCATCTTGTCCACGCGTGCACATAGCTGATTTAGTCCTCAGATGTAAGTAGAAATTGTTCGTAACAACAGTAGATTCAATGTTTGTTGCAGGTAACTTCTCGGAATGGACGTCGGACATAATTGGTGAGTTGCCAGTTTATCTACGAGCCGCAGATGCCTAATAAGTGATTTAGATATCTTAACACTCGTCTTGATCGACTGTAAGTTGTCTTTCTAATCACGGAATCATGCACTTGTTAGCTAACAAAAATAAAGATATTATGATGGTTCGAGTCATTGCATTATACTCGCTAAGTAAGAGACACGCAACGCAATGCCTGGCGACAACGAATGGTCTAACCGTTCCTTCTGAAGATAAAAAATTGGCCGTATTCCTGAAGGCGTTGCTTTGTATCGAGGTGGGACTCAAGACAAGCATAATTGTATACCTCATTTCTTATCAAGATAGTAAGTCCTTACCTTACTCAGCGGCGAGGCAAACTCATGTTGGTCGTAGCTACTGTCTTCACTCTCGCAGAAGATGCCAAAGTCTGCGGGGCAGCCCGTATCCCGTCTTGGCGCTTGTCAATGGTCGATTGGTGGGTTACAAAAAACTTGTGATACTTGCTGTCTAACACAAATAAAGGGTTGTGCAGGTGGCATATGGATTCTTGCTCATGGTCCTAGCAACCTACAGGACTGTTGAATATTGGGGGACAACGCGTGGCTACGCCCGATTCAGCCTCGTCAAAGTAATCATACGCGATCAAATTATATATTTCGCCCTGTATGTTTCTCTTCGCTTTCTTTACCCCGGTTCATTTGAGCTGACTACCTGGTTATATTAGTGTTATAATTATTTCTGTATTCAACGTTGTCAAGCTGAAGATCGCGACCTCGAACTTCATCACATCGGTAGTCATCAGCTGTCTAGGAAATCCGTCCTTTCTTTGTATTATTGGCAGTCATATACTGTTCAATCTCAGAGAGGCGTGCGACCAAAGGTACGACGAAGATGGGAGCTGCTTGGTGAAGTCGAGGGCTGAAATGACTGCGATGGGGACTTCTGGGTCAGGTTCATTGGAAGGTACTTAACGCCTTTTCACATTACGCGTGGACGCATTTTGAAACAGTTTACTTAAGGGCTAGAACTGCAAGATAGGCGCTACAAAACAATAATATGACGAAATGTCATAATTTATGATAGAGTTTGACATACATAGATAATCAATCGGTTCTGTTTCGAGAGTGTTTTGCTGAGCTGAGAAAAGTTTTGTCCAATTCAACTAATACTGTAATATACAATCTGCAGAACTTGGGTGTTTAGATATCTGGGAAATGTCAAAGTTAAATCCCTCGAGAATCGAGACACTGATGCCGGTCAAACGTGGAGACTGGAGACACATGAACAACTATTGCATTTCTGCGAAGTTACTCTCTATTCACAAGAATTATTGCAAAGGAACTTCACAATCGTATGGTACCCAGTCGGATGTGTTGTTCATAATGTTCATTTCAACATTCGTTTCCATATTTAGACAAAATCATGCACTCATTTCGGGCCAGAAAAGATTAAGGAGGTAGGGGAAACAGGGCAATATTAGAACAATGTTATTCCTATGTTACTGTATCCATCGTTCAACGTACGCCATAAAACAAACAAAACGATATTCCTTCGGGAATGGTCGTCAGTGCGGACTTTCCGCCTTATCATATTTTGATCGTTCTTCTCGTATCTCGGACAACCGAAGTTGCTCACGAAGCAGAAGAACTAGAAGCATTCTTCTCGGCAATAGCCATGATCTCCATGAGCGCAGTCTGTTGCTCGATATTAAGGGACGTCGTAGCTGCCTGGTACATAGCAGGATTTTTCATTTGGAAAGCTATCATGCAAGGTCACGTTGATGAGTCGCGTGCATCACTGCAGAATGCGGAAGAAGGAATACATACCTGTTAGTGCATTCTTGAAAGTCGAATATGGATCAACGGTATCCAATGGACTGATGAAGCCGAGTTCCTCGTCGACTTCTTCGTCATCAGACTCTTCAGCCTCGTCGTCTCCATTGACATCAACAGCACTATTGGCTTTCTCTCGGAGACGTTCACCCTGGAACCAATATTAAAGACGCAGAAAAAACGACGGCATACAAGACCAGCGTACCTCCTTCGCGAGCATCTCGATGTATTCAGAATCTTCGTCCCAGACATCGTCATCTGCACAGATGCCTGTCAGGTATACACGAGGAATAATTGTTCCAGTCAACTTACCATCATCATCTTCCAAGTTGAGTGGCTGGCCCTCGTCGATTTCATCTTCTGACTCCTCAGCCTCGTCGTACGCGTCTTCCAACGCTTTACGCTCTGACAAGGCAAGGCGATAAGTCAGGCCTTACTTAACCTGAGGACATAAATGGCTTACTCTCAATGGCTTGTGGTAGTTTTTGTAAGACGTGAATAACGGCCGATACGATAGCTGACCAGCCATCCTGAAGCGATGCCGGAATAGCGGACGGCTCCATTTCCAAGAGTGCACACATGGTCAAAATGCTTAACTTCATGTCATGCACGCGCGGTAGACCAGTGGGCGACTTCAGAGCAGCGAACCACTTGTCAAAGACTTTGCGAGCTGCGCCAGGCTTCGTGTTCTCCATTATATGCAGTGCTGCGGACGGGTTATAGAGAATTGCGTTGATGATTGATTCGAGATTTGCAACACGCAATGCACGTATAAATGTTTCTTTGTCTAGTTGCTCAAGTGACAGCTCGATCACAGCCGGTAGAGCCTAAAGGATAGGCGGTGAACTTTACGCGCTAAAACAGTAGATGAACGACTTACATCGTCCACTGTTCCACGAAGATTAAGCAAGAATGACTCGATAAGCTTGCAAGCGTTGACACGGTCTGCCTCGCCAAGGTGGTCGCTCTTCATCGCAGTTGTGTAGATGTCAAGAATCATCATCTTGTAGTCTGGCCGTTGCTTGATCACATCGGATCCGTACGAAATGAAATTGTCCAAAGACGGCAGCATCTCTGTTTATTCATTGTGAGTTCATATCAAGAAGCGAGACGAAGTAAGGAAACTACCTTCTAAGAAGTCAATCGCGTCCGACTTAAACAGTTTATAAGTCAACTCAAACACAGTCCACATGGCTGGCGAGATGCGACGCAAATTAAAGGTAAGTGCATCGACGAGGTCGTACATGTTATCGAAAAGGTCGATCGCCTTGTTCTCCAAAGTAAAGGTAATAACGGGAATAACGATCTCCTCGACCTGAGCAAGTATGTCTTGGGCAGTGTCCACCGACGCCACAATCTAGTGTGGTTGTTGATTGTTCAGAGTTATCCCGGAATTACTAATGAAACTTACTGTTGAAATTGTTTTTGCGACACCCATCGCTGCGAAAGTCTTATCATCATCACCGATGTTGGATTCCAAAGCGTCCTGTTCGTCCGTCGCGGTGACTTCTTGGGCCAAATTCTCGCGCATTAGGCGTAAGTAAGAGTCGCACTAGCCATAATCAGAATATGAGTTGTGCTCCTTTTTACGGGTGAAAGATTACATACAAGTCGTGCAGTCAATTGACCAGCAACGGGTAATAGTTCAGCATGGAATTTCTCGACCATAGTCTCCATGGAGCTGTTGAGGATGTCCAAATCTGTCTCGTCGGAAAGTTTCAAGAGATCTAGGTGGAGAGACGAGTTTAAAGCAAGTTATGTTTAGGACGCATATGATTATCCGGTTACCTTGAATGACCTTTCCGACCTGAGGTCGAACAGCAGCTTCAACTGTGTATTGGAAAACGGCTCAGTAGAACGCTCGCATGTAGAGGGGAACATTACAAACCAGAATCATGAGAAGTGACCATTTCGGTCAGAGACAATGCTGCCTGTACACGTACAGGCAGTTCGGGATCATCAAGCGCTGCGGCGACAGCTCTTGAAGCAGTGACCAGATTCTGGAAGTGGATCAGCACAAATGATTGATGACGAAGTGCATAGCTTCCTACAGCCTCATTAGACCAGTACATATCGTTCTTCTCGATAGTTCCGATTACTTCAACGGCCTTAGATAAATGAATTATCAGCAAATTCAATCACTTTGCCTTGTCGGATTACTTACGACTGAACGCATATATGCTAGCGAACTGTTGAACTCAGGGAAGACGTGCTGAACTACAAACTGCTCTACGTTAGGGCGCACTTGCGGGTGGCGCATCATGAAGGGGCCTAGGGCAGCAGTCATATTGAGTGCGCCGAATTTCTGAGAGGGTGCCGCATTGCTAATTAAGGCTAATTAATATGTTGTGAACACGAAATAGAAGAAGGAACACGTACGATTCGAGTACTGAGTTAATGAACTGCAAAATCGGCATAAATGTCGTTTTAGTCCTAGCACTTGCTAGCGAGAAGAGGAACGACGTCGCAGCAGACACGGGAGCCGCGAAGTCTTCGTATTCATCTGGAACAAAGTAAGAAGCCTTGCTAAAGCAGAAAAAAGGAGACGCGTCTCACCTATTGCGGTACGGACATAATCGACCGGATCTGTCTCCCAAAGTTCCTGCTTGATAGAAGTGAAGCAGAGCTGGGGGAAGACAAACGAAGAGACAAGTGTTTGGAAATGTGGCTTCAGGAATGCCCAGGTAGACTTCGGCTTGACACTAAAATGCTGAGTAAGCTACAGATCATTGACAAAGCAGAATTTTGACGAACCATTCGGTAAAGAATGAAAAGATATGATACTGGGCTTTCTTGGAGAGCCACTGCTGGCCCTGAACGAGTAACTCGACCTGGCGAAGGTATGTCTTGAAAATCTCGGGAGCGAAGTTGCTCACGAAATGTTCGGCAAATGCAAGATAATCCTTCTTCAGAGTTGACGGCAGTTGTGATGGATTCCCGTAACTAATGCATGAAATAAGTAAGACAACTCATATTACATCAGAAGACACACCGATGGAATAAGCGTCCGAGAACGCTATAAGCCCATTTCTTCGCTTTCCACCATTCACATTTCTCGCGATCGTCTTCGTTTTCTGGAACACCTTCGTTCGGAACCTGCAGATTGACAATTTGGAAGAGGAGTCGTCCCCAAGGAACAATGCTATCGTGGCCCTGTTGGTGTTTGCTTAGCTGAAGGATGATACTGCCTCGATAAGTCTTGAGAATGAAATGCAGAATCGTTGGCACATCCTGTGACGGTCCAGAAGGAGGAGTTGCCAGTAATTGCAAACCAATGTTTACGAGTTGGGGGAATGTCTCATTTACAACTTTCTCAAGAGTTTCAGAACCTTGACGATAGCGATACACCTTTATGACCTCCAGGATAGCAGTGCAACCTGCAGTGACTTCATGCACGTTGTTGCTCGCGAGAAGAGTCTTGATTGTGTCCATGAGGTTGGGCCATTTTTCAGGAAAGTCATGGGAAATTAATGTGCGCAGCGTACTTGCTAGCTGTACTGAAATGCTCTTTGACGGGGACGAAACAATCAAGGGGAAGATGCTCGATTTGAGAGCATCGCGATCAGATTGGGGTATAGGTATCTGATCTGGCCGTTGCCGTGGGGGCTCGACAGCGTACGACTTGTGGACGCGATTTTTCAGATAGACAGAAGCTGCCTGGCGTGTTGCTCTATAGTTCTTTGTCAGCGAAGGGGAGAAAACGCGTCCAACGCGTGTTGAAGCGTGTACTCACATCTCCACGCTATCATTGCCGATAATATGCATGACTGCGGTCACCATGCCCTCTTGGCTCCCGACCTAGACACGGGGACGATAAGGGAAATAATTCGCTTTATAACAGTAATGCACGCGTACTTTGCGGATTTCGAGCTCCCCAGCCTTCCTGGCATTCGGATTTGGGTCATAGGTCGTCGCGAAGAGATTCGTAAGTGTCTGGATGTCCATGTCTATTCGTCACAAAAGAAATTGTTCAAGATACTTCCGAATGTATCCAGTAATACTGAGGCAATACAACAAAGCAAGGCGCGAGATAAGTGGGGAAGAGAGACAGAGGTAGATATCCAAGGAGGAAGAAGCCCTTGGCCCGTCAAATTTTGGCGAGTGGCTTCCGGCACGTGCATCAGTCGCGTTACACTTATCACGTGCAATTATGTGTGATAATGTCACATCCTTATTTTGCAACAGCCCTTAGTTATAGCATTCAACCTCGTCGAGTCTTCCACCTTTCTCGTCAAGACAACTTAGAGAGAATTATTCGGAGCCGCTTTGCACAGATATCTTGAGTCTGAGTCTAACTTGTTCTGATGAATCGTCTGGGCGGTGTTGGCCTTGCTGCCCTTGAGAGGCATCGTGAATCGGAACGCTCCTTCGCAACCTTATCGGACACAATCTCCCGTGCTCAAGTTGACAGTCTCCGTTCACAACTCGCTCAGTTCCGCTCAGCATTGCAGCATTTTGCATCTACTCATAGAGATAAAATAAAGCGCGACCCTGCGTTCCGCCATGCCTTCAGTCAGATGTGCGCAAATATTGGTGTTGATCCTCTGACTGACAGTGGTGGGAGTGGAGGGCGCAAGGGCGGCGGCGGATGGTGGTCAGAAATTTTAGGCCTAAGTGATTGGAACCTCGAACTTGGAGTGCAGATTGTCGACATCTGTGTGAGCACGCGTGAGCGTAATGGTGGTCTGATTGAAATGGCCGAACTCGTCCGTTTGCTGGGGAAATTACGTGGGTCAGCTCGAATTACCGAGGAGGACGTCGTACGAAGTATTAAAACTTTGAAACCGCTCGGTGCAGGATATGAAGTCCTAGACATTGGCGGGACGCGAATGGTGCGAAGTGTCACCAAAGAACTAGACATCGATCAGGGTGTCGTGCTATCCGTTGCTCGCGAGACTGGCGGACGCATCACAGAACGTATCCTCGCGGACAAAACCGGTTGGACAGTGAATAGGGCCCATGCCGCATTGGAAAACATGACAGTCCGAGATGGTCTCTGTTGGCTCGATGAACAAGACGAGCAAATTGGTCGGGCATATTGGATTGTATCTGTCATGCAGTGGGACGAGTAAAATCGTAAGCTTAATGTGAAGTATTCGGAGTCTTGTTAACTAACACGTATTCTACTCTTTGTAGCACTGGCATGAAATACTTTCTCTTAACCCGGTAGGGGAGAAAGCGAGGTGATCATAACTGGGACTGGGAACCCCAGATGACGAGAGGCTGACGTATAACGCCTTTGATACCTATCCGCTAAGAAGGCCCAGCGCGGTTTCTTTCTGTAGTAAAAATCAGTGAATGTGTGCAGCTTTGGACGTGCACCGATTACATCCAGGGTGGACGTAACCTATTGATCCGTCGGTTTGCACAAGAATGATAGTCCAACAAACCCAGTAATTTGCTGGTTCCCTCTTATGACGACGATGAAGCTCACTTTGCTTCATCGCTGGACACTACATTGTCAAAGGGTTCCGGGATTCGTCCGTCCTCTTCCCTCCTTTCTCTTCCGCTCCGTATCTCCTTGGATGGACCTATACTTCTCTCGTCGTCGGTTCTTCGAGACTTCCTTCTATGCCCCATGTGGTAGGAGCGAAGTCGGGCTTATCGACCTTGCGGAGGTCTATCGCGTCTCTACAACAGTACGGAAGTACTCGATCTTCCCGCACGTAACGACCATCGAGTATGTCGCTCCAGAGGACGAGGAGAAGCACTATGTTGTGGCAACGATCGAATGGCGGTGGCCCTCGCCGATCGCGAGCGTCATTGAGATCAACGATAAGAAATTCATGCTCAAAGATTTCTTGCAGAGAGATTCGAACCTACTCAAGTGAGTGTATTTCTCTCTTGACTTCTGAACTCCAGATCGTCTAACTTCTTGGCAGGACGGGTACGCATGTGATGATCGGTGACGAGCGCTTCACTTGGAGATCGGCCGTCTTTCGTCCAGCACAATTATACGATTCAAATAAGCGTTCGGTAGCCCAGTACAACAACCAAGTGCGTAGCCTTCGGCCCTTCCTCCAGGGGTTGTCCCTTGAACCGGGCTGCCTACATATCGAACAGGACATCGCTCTGGATGCGGATATCCGTGATATGGTTGTGGCGTCGTTCTTCGTGTATCGGGCATGTCGTGATCTGCGTATCCTCTTTACGCCTTGGTGGAGGGTAAAGGAAGCGGACTTCAAGGGGATTAAGTTGCTGGAAGAGGATGAGGTTAACATCGACCAGTCTTGGTATACCACTTCGAAGACTAATGAAAAGGTCGAGAAGTCCTTTGAGACTGGTTTAGCTTAGGTATTAGCGCTAGGAGACATGTACCCGGATATACGAGTGGAAGTATGTCGAGTTTGAAATAGTTGTAGGAAATCATGTGATCTGAGATTTCTGCGAGTCCGCTGTCAACAAACCTCCTTTCTGTTCGTACCCCCTAATAATGTGTGATACTCAAGTCAAACTTCCTGGCGCGAACGAACTTATAGAAATGATATTGTTACCTCTGGTGTCTATCTCGGCTAAGAGCTAGGCCTTCGTCCAGTCTCGACTCTCGACTCTTGACTTCTTAGCTTGTACAACACCATTTCAAAACACTATAATTGTGAGCCCTTCGTCATTTGGTATGCCAGCGTTTGCCTTTACTTTCGAACAAGTATTCAGAGGAAACTAGTAGTTTAACCTTGGCGAAATCAAACACTCGTGCGTGCCGTCAGGTAAATATTGCTAGGTGTCATATCTCGCGGGTTTACTCTACGCCGAACACGGAGTAAGACGTAAACCCATGCATCTATGTCCTGAAGCTAATCCCTGCTCACATATATGAAGTCCGATTTTAACCATGAGAGATCTTGTTTCGCGTGGCGAGTCTCTGTTCTTAGCTGTCTATCTATCCTTTACGATATTTCTTCATTCTTCCGTGTGGCGAAGAGATCCTGGATCTTCCTTGACAAGTAGAAAAATGCACATTGAAACGTTGAAGTTCTAAGAGCAAAGGAGAGCTTTGTCCTGCCTATAGTTCTGCGGTCCACCCTTTTTTGTTGTCACTGGGCACTGGGACCTCATGGATCTTTATTTCTCTCGTAGGCGTTTCTTCCAGACTAGCTTCCACGCTCCTGCAAGCAAGACAGAAAGTGGTGAACGCGGCCGACTTAAGGAGGTCTACCGCGTGTCTACAACAGTCCGCAAAAACTCGATCTTTCCTGACGTGACGACGATCGAATTCGTCGGAGCGGAGGACGAGGAGAAGCATTATGTTGTTGCGACTATTGAATGGAAGTGGCCTTCGCAGGCTTCGAGCGTCATTGAGATTGATGACAAGCGAATGACGCTGAAGGAGTTCATGAAAAGAGAGGATGGACTGTTCAGGTGAGTGGAAAGCTCAACTCCTAATTCTGATATGATACTCGTCTCGTAGCACTGGCACGCATGTAATGGTTGACGAGGATCGCTACACATGGAGGTCCTCTGTTTGCCGCCCTGCCGCAGTAAGCTTAACTTTCCTTCACCCTATTATTATTGCCAGTTGTTCTGACTCTTCATGCACGAACAGTTGTATGATACACAGGGCCGCACGGCAGCTATATTCTCGCCACGCTCTTTCGGCCTTCGACCCGTCTCTCGCATCTGCACCGTTCAGCCAGCTTGCCTGCATCTCCTCTCGGGCCTCGCCACCGACGCATATGCGCGGGACATTACCGTGGCGTCGTTCTTTGTCTATCGCGCATGCAGAGACTTGCAGATAATTCTCACTCCATGGTGGAGAGAGAAGCAAGCAGACTTTACTGGTATCGAACTACAAGCATAACGTCCCAGCTCGATGGTGGCAGGAATGCTTGGATTACTTTGAAGTTTGTGGAAATGTGCTAGTGGAATATTGCGTGTATAGATATCGATGCCCCCCCGCCCCCCTCCCTCCTTGTGGATTGTGTAATTGTTAGCAACCTGAGTTGAATGTTTAGAGTTGCGATCCTTGTCGACCGCCTATATGCGTGTTTAATTAAATAAATGATATACTATTACATAATGTAATCATTGTTCCAATTGTAGTTGTGGGAGAATATGACCTCTTCTGCAACCTGTACTTAGTGGCTCAAGCATTTGGACGCGTTGTACTTGAACTTCCATGCACAGTGTCAAGCACATTCATTGAGCATAGTCGAAGCCAAATCGAATACAGGACACTATCGGTGGCGCAAAATCATGCCAAAGTCATCTGCTTCAGCGTCGGAGCAGCTGCAAGATGCTGTCTCGGGCGCAGTCACGACATTCTTGAAAGCAGCAAACCACGCAGTACGCCTGTCTACTTCACCTGACGCGCACCATTCGAGGAACTTATGGACTTCTCCAGCTAGCATCCACGGAGGAAGCGAACAAAGAAGAACTGAGACGCGCTTTACAGGATGTACGCGACGCGCAGCGCGACCGCGACGAGGCACGACGCGAACGTGACACGCTTATGCAGGAGAAGTTGGCTGTGGCTATTGACTTGGACGCCGCCAAGGTTGATGCGGAACGGTGGAAAGCTGCGGTGTGTCTATCCCTTCCTTAAACTATACGTGCTATACTCATTTACTTTTATTTCTATCAGACAGAGAAAACGGAATGGATGGTATGATTACGGCTCATCACAAATGAATGCTGAGGCTTAAAGGAGTACTTTCAGATCAGTCATCAGGCGGAAACGATTACGCAGCTACGATTAGAAGCACAGCAATGGAAAGACCAATTCGTGCGCGTTAACGAAGAGAGATTGCGATTATCTGCCCGTAACGATGAACTTGTTGCTCAGCAGCTTTACGTGCGTGTTTAACAGCTCTTTAGTCTCCTCTAAATCCTGACAGCCACCAATTTCCTAAGGCAAATAGACGGGATAATTATTATCATGAACCACTAACTCCACGCTCACAAGGACCTCAAGCACAAGGTTCTTCCTCAACGCGCGCCGTGTCGTCTAACCACCAGCCATCCTCATCGGTGGTTGCGAGCGGATATATGACAGATGGCGACGTGCTTAGCAGACGTGTGCAACAAGACCAACAATATGCGCAGCAATCTCGTGTCACAAACTCACGAACTGCTGGCAGACAAGCGAAGCCTCAGCCTGTGGCAAGTTCGTCTCGTCGGATGTCCCAGCCACAACCGTCAATTACTCCCGGAAAAGTGCTGCGTACAGTACATGTCGTGATGCAAGGCGCACCCGTAAAAGAGGAGAGCCTCGACTCTGTATCGCTCGCATCTGGTGCCTCGGGTTCGGAATCACTAGGCGAAGACGAAGCACCAACTATGGAGCAAGTTGAACCTCTACCACCCGTGCAGTCGCAGAGACGTGCCTCTGGAAAGCAGAAGGCAGTGGCTCAAAGTCAAAGCACACGACGGAGGTGGTCAGAAGGGAGACGAATATACGACGACGGGAGTGAAAGTGCGAGCCCAAGTGCCTCAGAAGACGAATACGTGCCCCAACCATCTAAATCACGAATACATGAAGATGACGACGATGAAGACGTAGATGAGCTCATGTTGGGCGGCGAAGTGCGTATTTATTATGATTAGAAATAAGCTTCACTTATTGATGTTGTTCGGATAGGTGGATCGTCACGAAAATTACGGACCACAGAGGGCATTGGTCAGCGATAATCGCACTCTAACGCGACGGACGCAGACGCTAACTACGAAGAAGGCAACCACATCGTCGGGCTCGGTCAGGAAGCGCAATAGCCCGTACGTGACAAATGGAGCGGGAAAGAAACCTCGAAATCGCTAGTTCTCTGAGTTCTTGCGCAATGGTTTTCAGTCGACGAGCTGTTATCATGCATCCATTTACGCTAACCTATCCATTCTGTATTATTAGTCAGAATTCTTTGGAGGTGTACTGCTGTGTTATTATTTATTACTAATCAACGCGTTGGTCTTCAATTGCATTCTTATCTGTTACTGAGTCTGGGTACTATGATACGGTTTCGGACGGATGGTGTTATGATTCACTTCTATGGCGTGATATAAGAGAGGTCTGGTGGTACAATGGTGTTTCCCAGGTCTTACGGATCAAGCATCTGTCTGCCCGAGTCTCTCACAAAGCAAACTATGTAAAGAACAGACTAAAGAATATAAATACTTATAAAAGCTCCTCAGCTCCAGAGATTCGGAGCAGAACACTCATTCCTTGACAGCATTGAAGCAAAGCGTTTTCTAGTCTTGACATGGCTACAGTCGCAGTTCAGCAACCGCACGACGTTCCTACGACGCTCAATTACTATGCGCCTGTAGGCGACGAGTCGCCATATATTTACGTCGAGGACCCGCCAGAAGGCAAGCCCAAGACGAACATCGGCGCGGACCCGCACTCGGTTGTTGTCCACGACGTGCGTGGCAAGGAGGATACTGTTGGTCTTGACAAGACGGGCTTTCAGTATGTGAAGCACAAGAGCGTCGAGACGGAGTTCCTTGACGAAGAGAGGATTAAGACGGTTTATTATAAGGAGGTCGAGGAGCTTTTGAAGAAGACCCTTGGCGTGAAGAGGGTTTTCATTTTTGATCATACTATTAGGTCGGTTTCTCTCTTTCAACAGATTAGCCAGATTGCTAACTTAGAAGCTTGCTTTTGATGACAGACGCAACTACGGAGATTCGACCGTGGGCTCCGATCCAAAGGTTCGCGGCCCAGTCGACCGCGTTCACATCGACCAGACCTTCGACGCTTCCGTCGCACGCGTACACAGACACCTCGGAGCCGACGCCGAACGTCTCCTCAAAGGCCGAGTCCGCATCATCAACGTCTGGCGCCCAATCAACGCACCAGTCGCACATAACCCACTCGCAGTAGCCGACTATCGCACGCTCAACACCACGAAGGACCTCATCCCCGTTCGCTTTATCTACCCAGACCGCGTCGGAGGCACGTTCTCCGTGAAGTACGCACCGGAGTTGACGTGGTATTATTTGAGTGGACAGACGCCGGAGGAGGTTACGTTGATTAAGTGCTTTGATTCGGATGTGGATAAGGCGAGGTTGACTCCGCATAGTGCGTTTACGGACCCGACGGACCCGCCGAGTGCGCCGAAGAGGCAGTCGATTGAGGTTAGGACGTTGGTGTTTGATGAGGAGTGAAGGGAAAGTAATGTTTGGTTTTCGGGAAAGAGAGAATAGACTGCAGAGCTGTGTATTTGGATTATAGTGTCTGTATTGATGAGACTTCTTTTACAATTTTCGAAGTTTTACTCGTATGAGATGCCGTTGTAAAGATAAATATAATTCAATCTTCCGTATATCTGGAGGCACAGTAGGTATCAGCATATTGAGCATTCAGATTTCAAACTGCTCATCTTGGGAAGAATGAGTTAAAGCGTGAAGTCAGATTGACTTAGTCCTACACATGCGAACACAGAAATGAATGAACAACGAAACACGCACAATCTCATCAGGGAAAAAAAAAGAATTTAGTCGCTCATGCCTTCCTCATCGACATCGTCTTTCTTCTCCCCATCCCCTCTCTCAACCGGACTACCCTCAATCTGTACAACTTTGCCAGTCATCGCATCCCACCTCGCTCTCAAATGCACCCGGAACACAACCATCTTCTCACCAATAAGCTTCAGCAACTGTGCCTGCTCAGCAGTTAACTCCTTTCCCTTCGTACACACACGGTGCGGTGCGTTGAGAGTCGGAACACCCCTGACCATTGAAGTATGTAAGCCAAGCTTTCGAAGTTGGGGCTCTTCGTTGTGTGGGAACGGTTCGGGTGGGTTCGAGTGGCATTGCATGACGGGTCCTTCGGGAAGGATGACGTCCTGCGATGCGATGTTGCCGCTTCGTGCAAAGTCAGGTTGTTGGAAGTCGTCAAACCATTCTGTCACTTCTTCTGGAGGCGAGTCTGTGAAGAGAATTCCGACTTGGCCTTTCAGTTGCTAAATACATTATTCAGAAAAAAATTGAATAATTTTGGGAGGGGATTGGTCCACGCACTTTTGCAATGTTGTACAAACCAGGTTTGTATTCCTCCTCTGGAGTAGATCCAAGAGCTTTAGCCACGACTGCACAACGGCCAAAGAATATTCGGGCAGAGCTGGGCATTGACGAATACATTAACATGAGTATCCCTCGTGTGTTATTAAACTGAACGGTACGCACTCTTTCCATAGACTTCGTACAGTCTTGAGATGAGTATTCCTCATCGTACCGACTTCAAAGAGCCAACAATATCGCCATTTATCTGCATTTTCTTGAATCTACGGAGGAAGTTTAGATGAATGTACGGTCATGTTGGTAGAATGCGACACACCTCGTTGATCAACGATGCCTTCTGCTCCTTCGTCTTTTTAGCAACTTTTGTTAGGGAAACTATAGTAAAATAGCTTCAAGCAGTTATTTCTACTATAATATGCCACATTACTGACCAACTTTGGCACGCTTTGACTTGGGCATGGTGGTAGGAAGAAGTAAACGAGAAATGCAGTTACACAACGAAAATCTTCCGTCAAAAACTGCACAGCCACTCATCTCAGCTTGACCTTTAACCATGAACATCTCCGATGATGCATACAATGCGCTTAGAGCATCTCTTCTTAATGAAACAGGCAAAACACCCTTACATGAGCGATTCAGAGCCTTGTTTACTCTGAAGTCGCTGAAAAATGAACGATCTATTCAGATAATTTCCGAAGGTAGGTAGCTCTATGCACTTGGATTGTTGGCGCGATTTTGACGTTGAACTAGGCTTTAAGGATGAATCAGCACTGCTGAAGCATGAACTTGCGTACTGTCTTGGACAAATACACGATGAGAAGGCTTTGCCGGTCCTTCAGTCCGTGTTGAGAAATAAATCTGAAGACCCGATGGTACGCCACGAAGTGGGTCTAGTCAAAACTTTGTTCCAGTATAGTGATTTAAGGCTTTGGATTGCATAGGCTGCTGAAGCAATGGGAGCTATCTCTTCGGCATCTTCGATACTAGTACTCCGCGAATTCCTTGACGACTCCGAACGAACAGTACGAGAAACTTGCGAGATCGCGATTGCTCGGATCGAATGGGAACAATCGGAAGAAGGAAGGCGGCACCTCGAAGCTCGAAATAAAGAAGAGAATCAGTAGGTGCATCTTTCTTGTGTATCGATATGTGGAAACTAAGAAGATTTATTTTCGCATATAGGGTATACACCTCCATCGATCCTGCGCCACCTAGTTCTGGGTTACTCTCGGGCAAACCAAGCCCGACAGGTGTACAGCCAGACGATGTAAAATCTTTATGTGCCACTCTCCTTGATATCAAAGTTCCTTTGTTTGAACGATACCGAGCAATGTTCGCACTTCGGAATATCGGAACTCCAGAAGCTGTTGATGCTCTCGCGGCTGGATTCTCTGATGATAGTGCACTTTTCAAGTATGCCACTCAGCAGTCTTCGTGCGTATATCGGTACTAATAATTTGTCCTTTAGACACGAAATTGCCTTTGTCTTCGGTCAGCTACTCTCAACGCACTCCGTTCCTGCACTTCTCAAAGTCCTCCAGGACTCATCCGAATCCGATATGGTCCGACACGAAGCAGCCGAAGCACTCGGCGGAATTGCCACACCCGAGGTCCTACCTTACCTCAAAGAGTGGATGGCGAGACCTGATGCACCAAGAGTCGTAAGAGAAAGCTGTCAAGTGGCTATTGATATGTGGGAGGTACGCAACGTCTCGTCTCTAATGAATGACCTAGCCACTGATGAACTGTTCTAGTACGAGAATTCGGATCAGTTCCAGTATGCGGATGGTCTGCAAACTTTGGGGCAGATTCCCGCAACTACTCAGACTATCACAGCTTAATTATCCTAACATCACTAATCGGAGATGTGTAAGTTTTGTCAATGAAGAAGTTGATTAGACTTTGTTTCTTTGCGAGGGCTGCAACAAGTTCTGGTTCCGTCGTCTTGACGCGAGATCTGGGCTGTGCCAACTCAGTGCAAACTCGAACTGATATCTCAATCATAACTTGCACTAAAGGATCAGAATGAAACGATGTGCGCGATCTTCACTACTTACTGCAACGCAGCGTGCTGGCATGACAGTGGCAGAGTCGTATTAAAACTTGTTTCCTCTGTGCTCTCAGCATTTATCCTCACTTATCGCCACAGGAGATCATCTTGTATATGAGTCAACCTCCAGAACACCATGACTTGGAGAGTACTATGGCCTCTATCTTTCTCGAAGCGGAAGCACTCCTATCGGAGACGTCTATCAGCTCAACTGTAACTGCGTCCGACCTTCCCGGTGCAGGTCGTACTCTCGGAAGACTATACAGTCATCTTGGGAAAAAGCTCGAAGTGTGGATAAATAGGCTCGCAGCTAAACATGGCTATGGACCTCAGGCAATTGAATGTCGGATCTTATCGTACTTGGAAAGCCGTGCAACATGCTGTACTGCTCAAGTTGCTCCAACTCCTGGTTCTTCCAAAGAAAGAGCAATGAGGAAAGACTTGAAGAAATTAGTCTCCTACGCAGGGTAAGCACAGTTAAACTCTTAGTGCTTGTATTTATATTTCATCCCACGATTCTTCATCTTTTTTTAAGATCGAATATTCCGTCAAATCAAGAATCAGCCTGCCACGCAATTGCATCTATTGCCAGCACTGGGCCATACTTTATCGAAATGTTCAAATCGCTTGGAGCATTGAACGTCCTAGGCCGTGCATGTCTCCATGAAGAACAAGAAGCGCCGGACCATCTGCTTTCACCCTCTCGCAAAGCATTGGTTTGTCTTGTTGAAGTCAGAATAAATGCAGCAGGGCACGAAAACCTTCTTCTGCAACATGAACTGAGGAAAAGAGACCCAAGTTTCATGACAATGGATGTGGCCTTCATTCGAAGGCTTTGCACCCTCCGCTTTATATTGGTTGAACATATTGATTCAAGGTGAACATTGGATCCTCGCTACTAGAAGACTTTCCACTGACTTGTAAGGTACAGTTCACCGGAAATATCATACCTTGCTCTCCATCACCTTGCACAAGAGTGCAGCCTAAAGGAATTGCTAAGAATCAACAACACAACCCCAATACCTGCCCTGACTATCTGTATTGATGATATCAACCGTCAACTGAGCAATGCAACCGTTCACCTCTGTAACAAGATACAGAACAGTTCAGAGAGTGTCGAGTGGACAGACGTTGCAACTGTCATTTCTGTTATACAACATTTCTGTCTGCACCCGAAATTTCCTAAAACGACTTCAAACGAGCAGAATCTTTGCAAACTGTAAGCTTGCTGTACACTTTCTAAGATTTATACTGAAACAGACTTCTCAGAAACACTATCATCGACAAGTACTTGACTAACTTTCCTGCATACACAAGGAACGAATATCTAGAGCTTAGAGCTACTCAGATGGAGCTAAATATGGATCTAGGACAGTAATAATCCATTACCCTGTATTTACGTCGGATATTATTGTGGCGAATCGGTTTGATTGGTTTTGACAATTCATTGGAAGCACTGTAGCTGGATTTGAGAAAGATTGCTATCCACTAGAACTAGAAGACGATAATAATTTTCAGATGACAGCAATGCTCTTCTGATATAATACGTTTCAAGTTGCATCGATATTTTGTATGGTTATATAAATCTCACGTACTACCACTGGTGATTATAATGAGTTGTTCGACTAAATCAACCGCATTTCTTCGCGCACTTCATATCATTCTAGTCTTTTTAAAAAATAATTTATATGCAGTATGAATGCTTTGCCCCGATTATATAGTGCACCGTGACTATCTGATTCATCTCGCGTGTAAGCTTGAGACATGTCTCATCAGCAGTGAACCAAGCGCCCATCAATACAAGTACATTTTGATTGAACAGTACCTTGATCAAATCGACGCACCACTAGAAACAGCGATCGATCCACATTGGACCCATACAATTTCCGAGGATAGAAGGTAACACATGACCTTGGACAAAAATAACTCATGAAAACTAAGGAACCAAATCAGACGGAAATATACAAAACGGAGAGTCCCGCAGTTCATAGCACATTCAATTGTGTCGGCCGTGGGCCTTGACGACGAGCGGGCCGAGCAGCAAAATCTAAGGTGACTGTTGCTTATGTGATACGGCTATTGGATCGTGATTGGATGTCAATTGCTGTTGATTGGATGTAGACTGTGCAGGGGCGCCGGTGCACTAGCGACCTGGCGAATCAGATCAGCTCGTGAACGGACGGATGGTGTTGCAGCCGTCGCTGTTGTTGCTCTCAGCGTCCAACCACTCTGATGGAAGGGCGAGCGCTCCCCCAGTCCGTCCTTTCCCCTTCCCCCTCCTCTTGTTCTTGTGCTTAAGCTTGGATCGACGGCCACGGTCCTCTGTTCTGGAGCATTGAGCTCACTGCCTGGTGCACTGGCGCAAGAACCTTTATCTTTTTCGATTTGGTTTTGATTTGAAATGGCGTCGACCGTCACTCCCACACCTGGTCCGTCGAGCGAGCCAACGGTGGACGAAAGGAGGCCCCAGGCGGGCCCGCTACCTCGAAAACGAGGAGAGATTGGATATCAAGAAGAGATGGATGTTGGAACAGAGAATGAAGATGGAAGCGACAGGAACACTGACAGTGCGGCAGTCTTGCCCGTTCGGCATCCTGCAGATAGGGAACCGACACCCCCGCCAGAAGCATCGAATCCTGGTCCGCCCGACACTAACTCCGAGTCTGATGCGTCTTCATTGCACACATTGCACAAACCATCCAGACAATCCCCGTTCTTGTCATGGCTTGGACTGCTAAACAGGAAAAGAATCGGCGGGGTCAAGCTGGCTACAATTATCCGCCTCACTTTGCAGCTGTTGCTCCTTGCGGGGACGATTACACTTTGGGTCGTCGTGACTAAACTTCTTGCGCATGGCTCCTCCGGCAACGCATCTGCATCTGGTTCGCAAGACGCACCTCCGTCGCCAGCTTTGGGCGGTTCTGCAGGAATCTTCGTGCACGTCTCTTTCAGTATCGTCACCCTCGCCCAGCTGCTCCTCCTCGAGCGTTGTATCTTCTTCATCCGTGCTCAGCGCTACGCATACAATCATCCGGGCGCCGCGCTCCCCACGCACTCACGAGGTGCCCGTGCTGGTCCTGCAACAGGGATGGCATTCGCGCCATGGAACCGGCCGCCGCTCCCTACCTACGCAGCCGCACTTGCACAGAGCGGGGTTGGTACGGGAGATGTGGAAGATAACATTATTGCTATTCCACCTCCACCTGCGTATGGTCACACACGAGGGAGCACACTTCTTCTCGCTGGTTTCATGCGGAACAGTCTTCGAGCTGCGGTCGCACAAAATTCTCAAGGTACCAGTCGTCCAGCTTCTCATCTCCGAGCATCGCACGCATCGCATGCATCACGCCTTAGTCGACCGGTCAGTTATCGCAGTCACGATGAAGAGTGGGAAGAACGTTGCGACGCAGAACGGGCTCTGTATCTCGCTGAAACACTGGAGAGATTGGAGAATACCGCACAACCTTCGACAGTTCCCGAAAGAGTTCGTCGCTCGTAATTGCATTCATTAAGACAATATTTATCCTTTTCTATTGTTGCTGACACTCACGATCCTTCTGCCTTTTTTTCCCGTGTACCCTGTAATACCGTTGTGCCTTCAAACATTTGCATGTATTAACCTTCGTTCCTTTATTGCAATACAATCCACCTATCCTTCCTGTCAGCAATCCGTCCGCGCAGGGCTGAGATAGAGTACTGTATAGCTGTGAACAGTACTACGCAAATTACTTGCACCCCGCACTCATTAGACCTTATTGAAAGGTAAGCTGACTCACCAATTACCCTGTGTAAGCGGACTTCACACTATCCGATGCATGACGGGAAAACAAGTGTGTAAGCCACAAGAGTATCGCAGGAAGCAGGCTCAAGAAGCCGCATCAACGATTGAAGCACCCAAGCACATTTGCTCGAACAAAACACCGCTTCAGTTTACGGTACACTAGTGAGACGCGGGTTTTGCCGCACGGAGAGTTGCCGATAGAGTGTACCGCGACGACGCAGGTCTCCGCTACCTTGAACAATTTTGCGCGGTTCATGTGGCGCACGAGTAGGCATGCGCTTCACCGACTGATTCACGATTCCGTCCTTAACCGCCTCACTAAAGCTCCGACTGGCCAGCAGTGATCGGAAGTTATTGCATTCGCCCACCCCCTACATGCGTACGAGACAAAGTGTTGCCAGCTTCTCATATATCGGCGACCGACGTTCTTTAGCTTCGTTCCTTAATCTGCGATCGACATGTCCTTGAAACAGGTTCTTCCGAGTAAATAGCTATGAAAGTCATCAGCACGACATTTAATGAGATCGGACCGAAAGACCACCACGTTCGCACCGCAGTGTAGACACAGCTTAGGATAGCACGTTGCTTTTGCCTATCTACCACAAGGTCCCCTTCAATGTTCTCTTCTTGTGGCGTAAAACGCAGTAGTTTCTGTAGTCAGAAAAACGGTCCGGAATGCCCGTTCTTGAAAAGAGTCAAGAGGCTGTTAACTTTGTCGGGTAAAGAACACCTCTCTGGTCTCTGGAAATCGGAAAAGAAGTTGTAAGAATTTCCTCACATTCGCGTAAACCGGAAAAAGCTCACCTCTACTGGAGTGACTGTAGTAAGCAAGAAACCATGATTTTTCATCTTAACATCGACGTGTATCGGTTTAATAGCGAAAAGTATATCTCATTTAGGAAGAAACTTCAACTTTTGGGAAAGTACTTCGACATCTGAAAAGTATTGAAAACATCCTGGATTCGATCCTTGCAGCATAGGAGTGAGAGACCTCTTGGACAAATGATATCTTGTGAGGTGTATACGGATTGCATTGTATGGTCAGAAATAAATGAAGAATACTAAATTTTGTAGAAATCCGTAACTTATTAGAAAGGTACATTTACTTACCTGTTAGACGAACATAAGAAATGCATAACCTAGTCATGGACCCCCGAAAACTGTGTATTCTACTGTAACGGCCGATTTATGCACAGCATACCCTCAGTTTATGCTTTGAAGTATCGAACTAATCGTCCCAGAGGATTAGGTTCTGCTTCGCCATGCCTTGCCACCTCCGGGCCGTTGCTGAGAACCAAGCGTTCTCTGATCCCGAAGATATCGCACAACGAGGAGTATAGTAACCAGGTACAGTACTGCGCAATATGCTTGATCGTCCGAAACAGTCAGAACTCAGCGGGGAAGCTTATAGTGAGCATTGCACATACCTCACATCTATTTGCATCGATGCCACTAGCTATTGGATTGGTTTATCCGACACATCCTTCATGCGGCAGAACTATGCCTCGGTTTCTGCATCCCGGATCCATTGCAGTACCTCAAAATTTGCAATGGCTTGTGCAATTTCATGAGGACAGACCCCTTAATCTCACCGTCTGTTTCGGCACTAGACCCGGAGAGGCTTACACAGTAAAGTTTATCAATCAGCTGGTAGTCTTGCTTATCCTTGGGTTCTACAAATAGTTAGGAAAAGAATCTTTGTTGACATAGTACGTCATGGCAGGAAGCGATGCGACTACTGCACGCGTCCCGCACATGCACATAAAGAAAAATTTGGTCTCCGATTGAAATCGTCAGAGTTTTGATACTATTCAATACGCAAAGTATTTTTGAATGTACTCAGTTCTGTTCAACATAAACTTGCATCTTTCATACATACTCAATAAAGGAGTGAAGACGTGGCCTGAGTCTGTAGGCCCAGACGTGTCATCTAAGGAACGCTGCAATACTTTTCCTGTTTCATGTCTGTCAAATCTCACGAAACTTTCGACACATACTCGGCAAGTCAATGTATTTTCCTCTAATGTCGTAGAGTAAGCTAGTTCATCTCAAAGGCGGATACTCCCAGACGCTTTCCCGCTTCATTTTGTGCAGGTCTTCTGTGGTTCCTCAATGCCATCGCCGAAGTACAATAAACTACTTGTTTATTTCCAGTCTCATTATTAATATTATCGTTTGACCGTGTGGATGGGGTAAAGGCGAAATGTGTATGCAGTACAAGCTCCCAATGTATATCCTCTCTAAGGTCAGAGAAGCCACCGAAAAACTAGAACGCGAATACTATTTGTCCCTTTTAGTGTCTGTAGCGGACTGCCTATGCAACCAGCATTGCATTTGGAATATGTAATTGTCAATATGAGTCGCTGCGTCTGCTGCGGAAAGTGAGAAGTAGAATACGGCACTTGTGGAGAAAACAGGTGTTCTCGAGCCCAAAACACATGCCTAATGGTGAGCGGACCGCCTCTGTCCCACCAGCACATTCGGCACGTTTTAACTAATATTACGAGATTTACGACACTTCCGTGTGCAGTGCATGGATGACTTCGTTCATAGAGTATGGTCTGCCCCACAGATATGATACCCAACGCCTTGAAGACACATGATTGCATGTACACATCCCTAAACACCTTTACCCAGCCCCAAGCTTCAGCACTTTATTACGACAACCCCCAGAAAACTGTTGGAGTGTTACGCAAAACTAGCAAGTTCGCTCCAGCGTCCAATAGCTTCAAGGAACACCCTGACGCCATAGAGCTTTCCCTTGATCCTAATACCAACTCATTCACCACCTGCCTTCGGGCAGTACTCTGCACTGCAGGCCGAGAATCTAATACTTTCTGGCACATTTAACTTTCTAGAACGAATAATTAGACTCGTTCTGGAAATTTCTGGAGTGCCGAGAAGTACAAGTACCTGAAGTGCGCATCCCGCCATTTGCATTGTCGGAGTGTTTTTGGAATGGTAGCGGGTAAACAAGTGACCATGGTGAATAACACTATGCAGGTGGATGCCGGCACTCGTTTTCTTGAATTCCTCAACTAGTCCGTTCAAGCATCCTCGGGAAATGCCCTATGGAACCCTCAAATTGGGGAGAACAAGTCCAAAACTGTGTAGAATGGTGAAGAACATCAGGGAAGAGATCAGAAGTCGAGAGAAAGCGAATGATCTCGACGAAAGCTATGGTGCTAATAAAGGCGCTCGACACTGTTCGACGATAACGATTCGCAACGCGAATAGGCCTGGAGCTTCTAATCATCCCTTGTTCCCCGCCCTCCTTGAGCTCCTCAACGGTTGCTTCTCAATTCCGACATCGGTCTCCTGCGGCTGAGTGTTCCCTCCTCGTATACGTACTGTACTTCGGCCCGCCTCTTTTCCTGTCCCTTGAGGTACCTCATCCCCAAGTTCTTTCCCTTTCCACCCCCTGTTCTTGAACTTCCTTATGCATGCGCTGTTTACGGCTTCCAGAAATTCCGTACGTGTCACACTCACGTTGGCAAACCCTGGTTGGCGGCCAAACTCGGCGCCTCCGTAGTGCGCCGCTGCGTTTGGGTTGTACCGATTGAAGGTTCAGGCCCAGACAAAATACAACAATTAATTGTCTTTCTTGGATGATATGTATACGCGTGCTTCATGTCCAACAGGATCGCAATACAGACATTCTGGGCAACTGTCAGCATTCAAGAAAACCGAGATTGAGCTTAGATTAAGAAGACGTACGGAACCCCGCGAACATCCCGTTGCCCCCGACCACGCTGATATTTGTCCAGAACAACCCTTGCATGTCTACAGGTAGGAACAAGATCGAGTCCGCGATTGCGCAGGAATGTCCCGCTTGGCCAAGAAGATTGATGTAAAGATGTCCCTCAACCAGCCTCAAATTCAGAGAAGCTCAAACCAAAATCTCTGGGCCTGAACAGAACCTCGGGTATTGGAAAACGTTTAGTATTCATTGAACAACATCTTCAGCCGCCGGAATCTCCTCCCCTGCAATTTTACCCTTTCCGCTCGTCCCTCTGAGCACTTCGGCAAGATCTATTCTTGTTCGATCTTAGATGAATGGAACCTGCTTGGCGCATCAATTGCGAACAGGATAACAACCATCAGCAATGGCGCTCCCCGACTGAACTTCATGTCTTCCTTGTAATTTGTTGAGACGCAGCACGACTTCGGCTTACATCATTCCTGATGCACGTTTCGCAATCAGATCAAACTGCCGGAGTGAGAGCAGCTCCTTCAGGCGGTTAGTGAGAGCCGCTCCTTTGAGGTTAATCTGACGAATATCTAGTGCCGCGAGAGGAAACTTTGCCCCAGATAAAGTCGCCTTCGGATGCTCTTCTAGATCACCTTCCCATTCATCATGATACAATGCGTGTGAAGCCATATCCGGAGTCGACGATCAACATGCATTCCGGACTCCAGAGGCCCCTCGGAGTGGGATGCTTCTTCGCGAAATAATGACCCGTAAGGCAGGAGTGACGCCGCCGTCGCCGCCAGCCAGACAACCGTTCAGCAGTATATTTTCGCTCTCGTCCGACTCTCACGCGTACAGTAGCAGTACTGCTGTGAAAATTTATTCCTCAATCACGAACTGGTCTTCTTTGCTCGAGATATGGCTGTGTAATGAAGATAGACGCGTCCGGTATCAGTATCTGATTGTGCGTCAATGGACAGATTACTTCCATAATGTTGTCGATGAACTGCAAGCATTCTGTCTGGAACAAACTATTTCGTATCGCTTTGTGAGCATCCCAATTGGTCAGATAGCCCTATATATTGGTAAAGACGTGCTTCATTACTGTGAAAGTATGGCGCATTTAAAGGAGAGACGGTAGTGAAGTGAGGAGAAGTCCTTACATCGATAGAGTTCATGTCTGAAGACATGATTTTTTTGCGACTTAGCCTGCCTCACGATTGCGTTTTCTTCGTCCCGATTTCTGAAGGTAAGTTGGTGACTGGCTAGTGGAGGTAACCTACAGATTGATCCCAGACATGAAATGTCCATTTTGACAAGACCTTGATTGCTGATGCGCCGTTGATACGTCCTTCTCGAAGATGGCAATATGAGTGTCGCATGCATGATGAGTCGCTCATCATTGTTGCTGTCAAAGTTGCAGCTCAGCTCGAACTTGGGCGCGCTCACGCGTCAGGGTCACGCTCTTCGTGTCTGACTCGAACTGTCGAGTTCTCTCGTGTCTCTCTCTTTTAGGTCTCTGAACAGTGTATAAACTACAACCTAGTATCATATTCAGAGAACTAAACTGGTTCTTTGGCTAGTATATTAATCTACCTGCTACCTCCCTCCATCAAACCGTATTGCACAGGGGAGACGCTCAGCATCTGCTATCTGACCATTTGTAACGTCAACTCTATTTCGGTACAAAACAACTTCTAAGTAGTCGCCATCTCTGGATGGCCGCCAGTAACAGCTGTTTGATAGGAGGTTCCACAAATTAAACGCTCTTCCCTGGTATCTTACAGGACACCGGCAGTTCCAGCATGTGTATTGGCCTCTGGTCCCTGGAACATCCAGATTATGCTCTGTACGCTGCGGTCCCCATCTAGCGGAAGAATTGTGTATCTGAGCCTTTATTCATCCCCTTCGCTATCGCAGAGCACTATGTACTAATCGCGATGAATATCTCTCACGGCCAACAGTGAACGCACACTTTCACTCGTTCGGGCGCGAAAGCATTGATAACTTTGTTCTGTCCGGTCGCGATCTCCAGGCAGGTGGCTCCTGGTTCGGCATTAACCGTGTCGGGCGTGTCGCTCTTCTGTCAGTCATCATCATCCCACGACTGGGTAGAAGCGGAAGCTGACCAAAACGAATAGAACAAATATTTCTGAAGAGGTTAGCGTCCGTTTCAGGGAATCCAGAGGGCACCTTGTTTCGTCGTTCCTGCTCCCAGAAGCTCAGGATAAGGAACACTGCGCAAGAATACTTGCAAACAACCACTCTGCCGAGTATGCCGGATTTAACATACTTGTCCTAACGCCTTCGAGCGACAGAGAAGACGGTTCGCTTGCATATGAAGCATTGCTGATCACTAATTGCAAGGGTGGCGGTGCAATTACCGGTCGTACCCTTTATACTGAAGAAAGGCGTGTAGGTGGGGTCTCGAACGGCGTAGACAGTGTCAATGGGAGGAGTTGGCCGAAAGTCAAGACGGGAGAAGCTTGCCTAGCGGAAGTTCTCTACAAACACCAGGGAACTCCGGCGCGTCTATCCGAGGACGAGCTTGTCGAACGCTTATTCGGCATTCTGTCGTGAGACGAACTTTTCATATTTCCTGTAGCTTTTTTGGTCATTAATGTTCTGTGGCAGAAAGCAGACTTCGCCGCCACCAAACAACCGCTTTCAGCTGCGAACGTCGATCGAGATCCCGCCGTTGCGCATGTCCGGCAGTTTATCTCCCGATGCCAGACCAGCTGACGGGCACAATTTCTATGGCACACGCCTTTCGACTGTTCTGCTGGTACGCCGGGACGGTCGTGTTCTGTTTATTGAGCGGGACGTCTGGAGACTGGATGACGAGGGTAATGCTGTCCGAGGAGATCCGCGGAAGGAACGTGTCTTTCGCTTTAGGCTAGATGGGCATGGTCAGGATTGAGTTGACGATCCTAAAAATCGGCTGGGATTAGTGGCGTTGATGCACTACGCGTCCTTTTCTTAGCGTCTAACCATCCAGGGCTCTCTTGAGTTTAGCCGCAATGCCAGAGTCTATATTGTATAGGAATAAATTGGTGCATGCGGACTAGAAGAAGAATCGATTGGAGGCACGAAGATCACGTAACCAGTGTAAAACGTAGACCGTTTACATGAACAGACGTATCATAAATCGCGCTAAGAATTAGGGATGAACAATGGTGAGAAGTGACGAAAACAAGTGAATTGGTTAATGGCATTATAATGCAGTCCACGATGCGAGGGTATGGAATTGTTCGTGCGAAAGTATGACGGGAAGTTCCCTAATCCTAATGAAGGCTTCGGCTTCTGTACAATGAACTAGAACCGTAAAAGCGGAAATGGAGCAGAAATCGTGGCAGGGACATTAGAGTCGGGAGAACACGTCAACACGGGGTCATTAAGAGGTATCAGGACATTAACAATACAAGGGGGAATCCAAGAAAGCATCAAGTTACCATCCACGCAATGGAAGAAATGGAAATACACTTGATGAAGGTGAACCTTTTCGATAAAGGTGCCAAGAAATAGTTCTGTTCAGGGAACTTTTAGTCGTCGGGAGAACGGTTGTTCAATTCAAGAAACAACATCGTATGCTCCGACCGTTTTGGCATAAACATCCGGATTCGCGAAATATGCATTCACATGACCATTGTGATGCGCATTATTCTCTGCCCCCCACTGAAGCATATGCAACGAGTGAGGTGTCGGCGGTGCCGACATTGGCACCGACGTAGGAATTGAGATAGGTGTCATCAAATCACTTTCAACCGGTGATCGAAGCGTTTCAGAAGTATGTCCTTCGAAATTAGTATAAGGGCCTGTAGTTGGTGCAGAGGATGGTTTAGGTGATTCATCACCACTGGAGAATGAATTATGAGCTTCTAGACGAAGAATAATGGTTGCTGAGCTTACTGAAGGATGCTCTTGAGGTCCTGAATATGTCGATAGATGGAACATCTGCTCTGCGAGTGCCCTGGAAGGTGCTGCAGATAATTTGACATCCCCTCAAGTTGTCGCGCAAGAGCGACGAAGGAATGGTTCGCTGCAGGATCGGAAACGCATGCACAAGTGTTCTCGTAACGATACATGTTAGTCGCTGAGTTTCCTGAATACGGCAAGAATTAATATTCTAGTTAGAGGAAGGCTACTCCAATACACTCACCATTCATTCCACTGGATGCCGACGAAGAAGGCGAGTAAGCTGCCGGAGAGCAACCGGTAGTACCGGAGTTCCCGTTACTACATGCTGCTTCGTAGGCATTCGTCGCATAGTGGTTCGATGGCACATGACCAATGTTCATCGAATACGTTGTACTCGTAGCAGACGGCGGCGGCGATGGTGAAAGACGGTAATAGCAATTTGAATGCTGTACTTCCGCCACAGGCTCCGTCTTGACTAAGGGAGCGCCTGGCTGCGGAGTATGCTGCCGACGTTGTTTGGCAAGTGCTGCGCCCGCAATGTTTCCTCGTTTCTGTGAGCGTGTATGCCATTTGTCACTTGCATCACCGTCATAGTAGTTTGGATCGGCCCAACGAGGATGTGGTTTACCTGAAAAGTTATTCGGCGTGAATATCGGGAAATCATCCAAAAAAACATGGATAATAAAATTGCACTAATTTCTAGAACGGACGAAGAAAAACCCGACTTACCACGAAGCTCCCTTACGAGACTCTCGAGTTCAGCAATTCGATTCCGCAAGCGGGTCGTTTCATCAATATCAGGGTCATCCCTGTCAAAGAACGTAAGTTTTGAGTTACGCGCCTGCTGTCGTGAGTGTACAGACCTGAGAGCGGGATCATCGACCTCGTAGACGCAAAGTCCTGTCTACAATGGAAATCAGTTGAATTATCGCGAAGGGCTATTTGGAACACAAACGAGACCAAGCTGTATGCATCTCTGGCAAGGCCTTTATATCCAAAGTAATATTGTCAATATCTGAAATACATAGCTGGAGATTATCAGATGACTGACCGCTTACGATCACACTAGAAGTGATGGCCGTCAGCACGTGTGTGAGAAACGGGAGAGATCGGCTTAGCATACCTTGCGCTTGGAGGTGTGGCAGTTAAGGCATGACTGGGTCGTCCTGTTCCTTCGACGCTTGCGATGGTCCATGTCTATTGTGAAGTCGATATCAAGCAAGTCGCCTTTCATAACATGCGGTTGGGCATCAGCAGCGAACATGGTGTCGGATATCGGGTGAGGCTAGATTTTGTGGGCAAATAGATGCAGCGGCGAGGGCTTGGTATCGAAGGTACGGAAGTGTTGAAACGAGGCTGCTTATAACTGAGACCGCATATTAAAATAGCACGAGAGACAAACAAGGAGTCAGTAAACAAAGGGTTCCACCTTGATTGTGTGGATGCCAAATGTGGACGATGCCTGGACGAAGAAGCGACTTCCAGATCTCGCCGTTATCGTTTGATGTTCAGTTATGCGAGCGCTTCCGGGGTGTCGCAATTCGATTTCTTCCTTTGCATAGTCAGCCCCGCTTCCCACCAGGACGCACTGCACATTTCGAATTACATTTAAATTAGGCATTTCTTGGAGCAGGCCGGACATGAAAATGAACGATCGAGATTTAAGCGCGAGAAATATGGTCCTCCATCATATGTGTAACTACACGTGTCGGCATCAGGCATATGGCCCTATGACGACTCGATGCAGAGTATCTAGTGGGCAGCTCTCATGATATGATTCTTGCCGCTGCCCACTTGTTCAGAGTTCGTGCCCCAACGCTTCCAAGGGACTCTGGTCCCCATCCGGATATGCCGGGAACGCCTAGATCATGCGGATATCGGATGGATGCAGTCCCCCTTTCCAAGCCAGTCTGCGATGCTCGGGCGGAACGCGAGGGCCGACGGCTTGGAAGAGGAGGAGAAGAGCGAACAGTCTCGCTAATACGAGATCGGAACCTCGGTGAGGATCGCTGTGACCTGCTCGCCTGCTTATTTTGGCATGTTTACCCAGGTGCCAGAGGTCTCCGAATGGTCACACAAAAACGTTATTTATTATTAGTATACCCGCAGTTGTTTCCCGTCCACGGCATGTAAACACTCCTTCATTCCATGCCATAACTAATCAATGCTTCGTTCTGAAGCTCTCACTCGACATCGGGTGGTCCTCAATAGAACGAATCCACCCTCTTGCTCGTCTCCCGAACTGACTGACGACTTAAACTAGACGACACAGTTGAAACGTAAGACGAACCTCCAAATGGTAATGCTTGTTCTACATTCAAGTATATTAAAAATGAATTGAAGCACAGATTTCGTCTGATGCACAACATGGCACAAAGACTGTGTCATTTTGCCTATAGTCTAGACAAACTCAGTCACCACTTCATTAATGTCCATGTGCAGCATGAGAAGTAATATCGGGTCATCGGACCATGGACACAGACAGGGGGCCGCACAAGTGTAACACTCCTTGGCTCGGCAAGCCAGAACGGTCGGTGCTAGCACTACATACACAGTCCGTGAGACACTAGTGATCGCTCTTCCCTTTTTATAGAGTGTGACGAAAGAAAAGCATCATAGTATCGCAAATAGTACCCTTCTACGTTCATTTGGAAATTAATTCTGTTGTACATCAGAGAAGGCCCATGAAAGTACACTACTGTCCTTCCGCAAACGCATTCCATCCGGGAGGAAGCTTTGGAGTCATGAACACCGAAAATTACGGGAAGATGGAGGGAATATACGAAGGGAGGATCCGAGTGAAGCGAAGAACTTGCTTTCGGACCTCTCTTGTGTTCGAAAAATACAATCGGTATAGGAGCTAAATGACTGAGTCTAACCAGGGGATGGTGGAATTAATCAGCATCGTAGCCAGGATACGGAGAAGCCCACTTTCAACGTGATGAAGTAGTGTTCTGAAACCGGGTGGCTCCATACGAGAGGCATACTACTGTGTCAGTGAATTCCGATTGGGGAGTTTCACCAGGTAAGAGAACCCAATGGCTCCAGAATTTCTGATCGAGATCGAGATCGGAAAACGCCTTTCGGGAGACAAAGATTTGCGGCCGTGACGGACAAACAGTTGCCAGAAGTAGCGTATACTTCATGAGATGACAGAAAATGGTGAATCCTATTCATTCCTATTGGTAGTGGAAGATGAGAGGAAGCTTGCTGAATGAAATGTCCAGCTGGACAAGTTGCACATGCCGAACGGTGAGTGTCGGCAAAGTGATACTTCGAAGAAGTCTCAACGGCCTGCTAACAATTGACTTATCACAGGTCGTCTGCCAGTTGAAGCTAAAGCTTAGTCATCTCTTGCATCACCATTCCGCTGTTCGAAAACGAATTGTGGGCTTTTTAGTTAACCTTGTCTGCGGCACGTAGAAGTCTGTAGTCTAATTTCGGACGACACACACGGTCATGAGTTTAAGGTCAATACAAAGTGATCGATCAATGTGGTGAACGGACATCAGGGAACCAAACTCGCTTTAACGCACGGAACCTCAAACCGCAGCCGAGTACATTGCTGAGGGGACCACAGAGATTATTTCAGGAACCCGTTCCTGATGTTCTTAAGTACAATTCATGCAGATAGGTTATTGGGAAGACGAAGGCATTCCGAAATACCCCGCAAGCAAACATCCCCATCGTGATCATTTAAGTGAACCTGGAACTTTAATTGAAGAAAACGGCGGAGAGAGTTTCGTCGACGACACGAATTGAGCGCAAATCAAACATCTCGACCGGCCCTTGGCGCGCCGCTCGCGAAGAACTTGATATGCTTCGCGTCTTTGACGGCAGTGACGAATAAATCTGAACACTAAGCGCAACCAACCAGCTCTTGAGCTGACCGAAGAGTTCGTTCGTAATCCAAAGAAAGGACGCAGTCTAATCATTGAGATTGAGGATGATCACCCCTAACCTTCATAAGGGGAAAAGGTTAGGTAACCATTTCATCTCCCTCTATTACGTGAACGCCACAAGAAATCGATAGGCTTCAGTCTTACTTATCCACTCGAGAATCCCTCTGGATAATCGGAGAGTTGTATCCGAACAAACTCGTAAAAAGCCGAAAGGAATAGGAGGCCCATGAGTGGTTCGCTACTGCAGCCCTTCTTAGAACCGTGAGCCAAGCGAGGGGGCTCGATCTTGATGCCATTGTTCGTAGGTCAGTAATGAGCATCTCGCCAGGGTATGTAGCTGCTCATCTGTGGTCGAAAGCAGAAAGGGTACGTCGTATACGATATGCTTGCGATATCGGCATCTTTGAGTGCAACGTGGTAGAGCGTGCTGTTCTCATTCAAAATGTATCAGTGTTCATAAACTTACAACGGGCGTCCAAGGCCATATCGCTGAGTTCGCCGCTCTCTGAATGCTTCGGACGGGATAAACGGCCGCGACGGGACTAACGGGCGGCGGTGAATTGGGAATCCGAAAAGGGAACAGACGGAGAACCTTCTTTCCATGCTTCCGCGGACAAGTGACGATGCGTAGACTGCATTAGATATGCGAGAAAGGCACACGAAAAGCGCAGCCCGGACACAGTTATTCAGCTCTGCATATGCTGCAAGCTCCAATGGCGTAAGGCGATGCTGGCAACCTCTGCCTGTATCGCTGAAGTATTTATCCGCTGTGACACATTCAGAACATGCAGGGACACTCGTCGAGGGGAAAGTATGGTTACTAGAAGAATAGAATCCCGGTATCCATTTATAGCGAGCATGAGCTGGAGTGTCCGGAGGACTAATGGCAGCTTATTCAGTGAAGGAAGCGAACCACTTCCTTTTACTACGCCCCTCAGAGGATCATCATTCGTTGACCGACATTGAGCGTTAAATTCATAAGACTGCCGACTGCAGCGGAGCTTGTCCTAAAGCGTCAGATCAGGAGACGAACGAAAGAGTCAAAGTCTCCTTGACCGTTGATGCAGTATATAGTCGGTCCCTGGAGAAGTGAACATCATGCTGGATCGAGACCAACCACGAGGCAAATCACCACGAACTGTATTTTGATTCAGCAACCTCAGCTTGTCTCTTTACGTCTGTCACAGCTTGTCGATGCGCGCTCATCTGTCATTCTGCGGTCTTGCCGTACTGCGTGGAAGTAATGAAGGGTGAGTGAGTAAAAACGACATACACGTAACACTCAGTATAAGTCGACATTGTCCAGTTTACGTAATTACTTCTCAAAAACTTTTCGACCGACGCTTTACCTAGAAAGGAAACATCTTCCAGGTATAAAAGGAAGCTTTTAGGCTTTCGTCAGGCATTTCCAGCTTTGGAGCCCTGAACCAGGCCATCGGCTTCACCACGAAGTGTAGGCCAACATCTCCATCTACTGAGCTAGCATCTCCTGTAGCAGGCGCGTTATACTGCCTATTCAAATGCTTGATAGGGGGTGTAGACTCCTTTACAGTCTGGCCGGTCGTAATACCGCATGCACGAGTAATTGTCCGGATGAAACGGACCCCTGTAGAAGTAACAGTCTATCATGATGCGCTCATCAATGTTATCTCTTTAATGATCAATCTCCTCGGCCAGCGTCGGTCAACAAGGTTAGCGAAACGATGCAAAGCGGTTGCTATTCAATCGCTTAGCATGTATTCTTGGGTACAATATGCCCCCGATCTTTGACAGATGGAATGCCACGATCGAGTAAACATTTATTTCAGGTAAGCAACGGTGCTCGTGTTAGACTAGACTGAAGAGCTTTCCCTGTCGGTGCAATAAAGTTCCTTCTTGATCCTATAGTTCTCTTGCAGAAACAGCAGGCAAAGGAAACGGAGGAAATCTTCCCACCCATAGACTAGCTAAACCCTCTCACAAATCAGCTTGAGCATGTCAGGTTAGCATTGAATGCTCAAAGCTAATCATGGGGGTGCACGTCAATGAAGGACGGTATCACACTCTATTGGGTCGCTCCCACCTAAGAATATCGTGATCGAGCTCACTTTACAGTTTTGAGTGGTTGGTCCAAATTTAGAGCCTTCTGCTAAGGCTTTGTGGCGCTGTTCTTCGCGCGAAGGAGACAGTTCTTCTGCATTGAACATGTTCAAGCACTTTTGTTGAGATTTTCTGTTCTGGGCCGTGTTAAGATCTGTTTCTCTGTCTAGAATAGCAAACGTTCATTTTCACGATTCGGAATAGAAGGACAATGCAAAATGAGGCTTCTATGTCATATTGCAAGGTTCTGCATTACGGTTTGGCTGTGCTTCTTGACGTCACGACGATTTTCAGGGAAAACGGAGACAGTGCGCATGAATTATCAGAGCCGCTCTTTCTCACTGATTCGCTACGTTGGCGACAACCGCTAAGTCCTGACTATCTGCGACATCGTTTCTAGCTTTTAAACTTTTCCGACAATCAGCTTCGACGATCCGCTTAATTGACGAAAATTGATACTCACATTCCAGAGCTTCGACAAATTGTGTTCGCTGCGTTTTGAAAGCATCTGCCTGCCCCTGGGCAATAGGAAGAGTTGAAATTCTCACTGTCACAAAAGCATGAAAATATTGCGCAAAGAAGTTGCATCAGTATTACAATAAGAATGATTGTGAAGCTACCTTTCATTAGACGCATCGTAATGGTATCACATCTAGAAGACAAGATAAATGTGTGAATTTTTGTGTAGGGTTATATTAAGTTATAAGGCATGGTGTGCGCGTAAGTATGTCTGGACTTAAAGTGGCAAATGTATCATTATATCACGTGACCGGATCTTATACGTCATCGAAAGTGAGAGCGTATCGAACGTGTCTACGCGAAGAAACGCGACGCACATGGGGCATTTCACAATTTCTTGCCTTAAGAAAT